AATAGCAGCAACAGCAACCGCAACAGCAACAACAACAACAGCAACCGCAACAACAACATCCACAACAACAACAGCAACAACAACAACAACAACCACACAAATAAAAAATGTGTTGGAAAAAATATAACTAACAATAATAACATTATATTAATGAAAATTTATAAAAACTTAATAACAAATGATAATTTTCTTAATACTAACAACAACAACAACAGCAACAACAAACACAACAACAACAACAAACACAACAACAGCAGCAACAACCACAACAACAACAATAATAGTAATAATAATAAAAAGAGCGAGAATGATAATTATGATAATGATTGGAAGTTCAAGAAGCTACCATTTAAAGTTTTCGCTCATAAATTGTCTCGAAGAAGTTATCAAATATTAAGCGCTGCGCCGTTATCATATCACAAGAATTCGATGATGACGTCATCATCGTCAGTAGTATCACCATCATTATCGTTGATAACTTCATCACCATCGTCGACATCGTTATCATCACCGCCAGCACAATTGTCATCATTGCCGTCATCATCATCATCATCTTCTTCTTCATCATTCTTATTATCATCATCATCATCGTTTTCGTCATCACCTTTAACGTCGAAAGATGAAAATGTGACGCCACCACCACCACCACCACCACATCTTCACGCTTGCACGACTTTCCCGCCAATAAACACAATTTCTCCAACATTGATAAGAACGTCCAAGTTATTATCCTTCCCCTCATATTCATCCTCCTCCTCCTCTTCATCGTCGCCGTCATCATCATCATCATCACATGTGATATCACTATCATCGTCATCATCTATAACATCATCATCATCATCACCACCCCCATCAATGTTTCACCCTCCCCACCAAACTCTCAACCCATCACATCTTAACCATCGCCAAACGCCACAAAACCATAGTGCCTATATAAGCACAGCTGACGGAATGAATTCACATCGGACGGGCAAAAACCGACGTCGAAAGCTGCAAACGTTACTTCATAAGCTTCAACGAAAAAATTTTCAACAACATCAACAACATCAACGTCAATTACAAAATATTCAACCGCACCAGCCACAGAAGCTACGATTACAGCCACCGAGTCACCTTAGCAAATTGTATTATGATGAACAATTTAAATCGCAACCGACAATTCCGAAAAATATTTATTCAACATTGTCGCTGGAGCAACATCGTCAATGTCAACAACAACAACATCAACAACAACAACATCTACAACAATATCATCAACAACAGGATCTACAACATCAACAACATCATCAACAACCGCATTCACAACAAGAACAACAACATGAACATCACTATCAAAGTCAGCGTAAATCATCCAAAGAACAATCTTCAGTTGGACAGCTTGCAAACAAGCAGCAGAGGTTTCAGCATTCTAGTAAACAACAGCATCAACAACTACAACAACAACATCAACAACTACAACAACAACATCATCAACAACAATATCAACAACATCAACATCTCCATCAACAACCACATCAACAACCACATCAACAACAGTATCAACAACATCATCAACAACATCAACAGTTATACCAACAAATACAACATCAACAACATCAACTACAGCATCAGCCTCAACAACAACAACAAAATCAACGACAACATCAGCATTTACATTACCAATTACACAGAGAACAACGAAAGCGTAGGAAAAATTTTTTACAAGGCTTTGAAAAGCCACACATTTTAATAAACCGACACCG